TAGCTAGGGGCTGCACCACGCTAAGCGACTCGCAAACTGTCTTTTCTTTGCTTCTTTAATGACTCGGTTCCCCAGTACACAATTCTTCTTACATCATATTTTACTTCATTCTATGCAAGTCTGGTTAATCTCTTACGCTCTCACCCTCTGCCGCTTACAGACCTATACAATTTTTTCGCTAATGCAAATAAATATCGCGAGAACAATTAATAGGCATTCTCTCCGTTAAAACACAAGAATTTGGTATAAGATCAAGAAAACAACTTTTGCCTGAAACGTTTGAGTTATTGTTATTATTATTATTATTATTATTATTATTATTGTTGTTGCTATTATTATTATTATTCTCATGACCTGTTCGTTAAGTATTATAAGGATATTATGGGAGAATTTACATGTCTAAAACTTTTGGGAGTTTTAAGAGTTGACAACTTACTCTATTATGAAGTTACACGATGTATGACAGAGAGCCTGTAATTTGATAGATGATCGCAAAAACTCTCTGAGTTGTTGACGTTTCCTTTGACGTAAATTTATTTAAACTAATATTTTAAAGACATGAATTTGGACACACTAAAACTTCTAAAATGGGCGTGGCCCTCTCGAAACTCGGTGGGATTCACATCAGGTCTACAGCAGCCGTTTTCCATTTCAATCTTGTTGCATTATAATTTTATCTTACTCTGAACAATGTTACAAATTTCAAGATTTATTCGAGTTAACGTGAAATCTTCGCTTAAGCCGTAGCTTAAGCGAAGATTTCAAATGTTCTCCGTCGTAGGACTCTTAAAATAATGCCACGGAAAAGAACTGTTTTAAATTGATGTCGAAGTGTTTTTCAAACTGGAAATTACCTCTACAGGACGTCTTTCAAAAAGGTATATCTATTTACTGATACTCTATCCATAACATGTCAAACCTATTGCAGTATGAGCTTCAACCAATAACGAACATCATCCCCCGGCCAACAGCGAAAACAGATCCGCAAGGGAAGGTTCAAGCACCTGATATACAGAACATGGATTCCTATTTCGATGATCTTCGAAATGCCAAGGCACTTGTTGAGGCATACATTGAAGATGAGGGCGGTGACGATGACGATGAAGGTGTTGTAAAATTTTTCGAAATGGTCACCGATCTTTATGACAAGTTCAGAGAAGCAATTGAGGCCTTGGAAAGCTCGGAAGGATCGAAGAAAGTCAAAGGCTGTCTACAGGAATACAAGAAAGCCGGTGAAGGACTCTCTACTAGCAGCAAGCTTACCCGTCAATGGAAAAAAATAATGCAAAAAAAGGTAAGCAAGACGATATTCACGTTCTCTTAATGAATCAATAATGAAGTATAGTTCCTGATAAAATCAGCTAACGCGATGAAAGCAAACAAGCAAACAAAAAATGGAAGACGTTTCGATTTTAGAGAGCTAATCCCATGGTTAAGGGATTTAGGAATATTTAAGTCCTGATAAATTTTAAACCACGGTTAATAGAGTGTATTGAATTGGTTATGACCTTCGAAAAGTATAAAAAAACATCATGTTGTTTCAGTTTAAGTTGGGAGCACCTTTTACGTTCGCCATGACTTCATATCTTTTCGCACGTTGTGACCGCAATATAATTTAAAAAGATGTTTGTAAAAGTCATTCACATTATTGAAATGTTAAGGAACGCTGAGCACGATCGAGACCACAAAAATGCTAAGAAAACCTATATTGCAAAGAAACAAGACTAGTTTCCTATCTATCACAATTATTTCCAGTACGAGTGATCTGATTGGTCAAAATATTTTTCAAGCTTACGAATTTAGGGCTATTTCAACGTAATGGAGGAAACGTAACAAGCCAGCAAGAAAATGCAACAATTAAGTAAAAGTGTAACTATTATGCACCGCATTACAACACAACAAATATATATGAAAGTGGATATTTTAGTAATGGTTCTAACTAACGGCGATCATTAATCTTAGGACAAGAAATGAAAACCTTCAGTCAGACTGAAAGCCAAGGGCGCGCCATAGGCTTTTAATTTGTCTCAAATCTACTGATCAAAATAGGAAGCTCATATTTTCTTTGCTTTAAAGGTTAGTAGAAACGAAAGAGGTATTTCATCCAAACATTTTTCTGAAACCCATATTTATTTAGTTCTTATTAATCGAGCGGGAGGTCTGTACGGGAGAATCTTGACCGAGGTCGCCAGTACAGACCGAACGCAATGAGGTCTGTACCAGCGACCGAGGTCAAGATTCGCCCATACAGACCGACCTAGCTCGGTTAATAAGATGTTTATTATATGGCTGTGTCTTATATGCCAATTTTTTATATGCTTTGTAAGTTTTTTTTCTAGGTTTGTCTAGATGCCGATCTAGATGGGAAAATCTAGACCGCTTTCAATATTGGTTTCAGCCAATCAAATTCGTGAATTCGGTAGTTTCCAGTCCTTGTTAGACACAGCCATATAATAAAAGACAGCGAAAATCAGGCGAATAAAGTAAGCGTGGATTATCTTGTATTCACAGGTTCCTTAATCTGTTCACATTATAAAATGCTTTTGCCCTTAGGTCTTGAAAAGTTAAGAAACATTTCAAAAGATTTGATTTTAGATATAAGTTTTGTTTTCAAACACGAGCATCGTTTTAAAAGATATATTTGCATTCAGACTTGGTTTGATGCTACTCTGGTTTAGGGATTTAATGAATGTAACCGGGAAAATTAAAATTCATCGACCCATGTTTCGACACTTCTGTCTTGTGCCTTCGTCAGGGGTGATCTAACCGTTCAACAAATGGTCGTTTTAATTATCTGCCGTTTTTCATGACGAGGTGTAAGCCTCAAGTAGTAAGCCACCATCAGCATGATTTAAAGGAGCTTGGGTTAGGGTTAATATGCCAGTCCTCCAAACAAAGGCACTAATGGTAGCGTCGATTAGTGGTGACAACTTTAGAATTATTCCACCCAGCTGTATGGTTGGTTCGGCATGTGTACTCCGACAAAGCTGAGTTTTCTATTTTTGCAAAAGAAGACTGCTTTTAAATGCTCTTTCATACGTGTACCGGCCAAACTGACGTTTGGTCTGTCCGATTTGTTCGTGATCACAGTCATTACACAGAATAGAATAATTAGCGTCGGTTCGTTGTTCTTTTGCAACAAGATCCTTAGGTTTGGCTAAGATATGCCTCAAAGTCTGACAAGGTTTTTGAGCGAAATTAACGTCATCACTATTCAAAATTCTTTCGATGGGCTCCGTGACACCCTAGATGTAAGGATGTACTAACAGCAAAACCAGTCGCTGGTTCCTTCTCATCAGGAGTGTTACTAGTTATAACTTGTTTCTAGCAGTTAAAGAGAAATGTTTTGGTATAGCCATTTACTTTAAGGACGTCGGAAACATATTATCTCTCCTCAACCTTCGAATCAAGTGGAGACCGTGGACAGTCAGCCCTCCTGAGTTAAGTTTTAGCTACGGACTTGATGTGGCCAATAGAGTGGTGAGAGTTAAAAGCGAGATATTTGTCGGTGTGAATCGGTTTACGATAACCACTTGTCTCCAATTTCCCTTGTTTCATTCTGCCCACATTTAAATCAAGAAATTAATAGACGGCTCTAGTGCATTCAAATACGATAGGAGACGCCCATTTCTGATTTTTTTAGGCGCGATAGTCTGGAACCTCGTTTTCGGCACCAAAGCGAGTTTTAGAAAAATATAAGGAAATCTGAATGTAGATCAATTACATAATTTATCTTGCGAAGTTAGAAGTGACGCTCGAGGAGCGTTCAATCAGGCTTTGTAACGAGCGTTTTACTTGAGCATTCAACACGCGTAAAATTTAAACGAAACTTCGTAGTCATGGCATTCACACAAAACACGAGCACAATTGTAATATACAGGGCTTGACACCAACTTTTCAACTTACTAGCCAAGTGGCTCGTGAAATCTTAGATGAAACGACAATTTCGGTTTGTTTACTAGCCAAACTGGCCAGTGGAGATCGAAAACCTCGAGCAAAAGCCGTATTTCTACTAGTCTGTGGCTAGTGGGCTACGGTTAGTGTCGAGCCCTGTATAATATGAATACTTTGCATAACGAGATCTGAATTGTTGTACTTTTAGTGACACTTCAACATCATATTGACAATTTGTTCTGGTAGATCACAGTCCTCAAGAGTATTCATCATATCTTCTACTTAGCACATACAACTCCATGCAAAGAGTAAACCAACATTTACGATCACTTGTACAATAATAATATCAGTGATTATGTACGAAATATCAAATCGTCCTTTACAGTTATTGAACCCAATAAAAACCAATAACAGAAACAGGATGTTTAATGGATAAGCTAAGCTTAGATAGTTAACTTTATTATTCAAGTTGCTTCGATTCTGTCAGTATCCTTATCCAATTCGCTGTTGTCAGCGCCTCCTTCGAAGTTGTGTTCACGAACAATCTTGATTTTTTTCAGCACGTAAGGTGTTCGTCTCAGCATCATAAATTGTTGTTAAATCGGCAGTCCCAAGTTTGCTTGTATTTTCGTATTTTGAACTTACATATGGCTCTTTTGTTATGTCGTGAGAAGTAGTGTGTACTTTTCACATTTGGCTGGCTTTCAAGCTATCTAGTTCGTGGGCCGGCCCATTCCGAAACGGTCAACATAATAATAATAATAATAATAATAATAATAATAATAATTCAACATTTATATAGCGCAAACTACTATATAGATAATCAGTCGCGCTTTACAATCAGTTAAGATGAGATCGAACGTCAGAATTCATCAGGCGCAATATGCAGCCACTTCAGTCCATGTATTGATCTCACCTTCCCTACCCAATTCACCCTAGATTAGACACTACACAAAAATAGACCACAACACCGGGCACTACGTGCCCTACTCTTTTCGAATGGTGTGTGGGTTCTTTAACGTCCCACAATTTTTATCACATATAAGGGCTTGTGAGACGGGACCTCCATTTATCGTCCCTATCCGAGAAGACTAGAAAGTCTAACCATTTGCAGATATTATTACAAAGACAGCACTTTCTTCTCAGCTATTTAAAGACCCTGAGTGTTGGTCCGGCCGGAGTCGAACTCTCGACCTCCCGCACAACAGTCTAGCGCTATACCAATTGAGCTAACCGGGAGGCGGTTATTTAGTGTGGGCCTACCACGAAAGGCGTGTGCGCTTGTATGTGAGATAAGCGAATAAGACAGAAATCTTTGCAAAGCAGTCTTTACATAGCCCAGCACTCTGTAAATTATGTTGTTTACGAAGAGCGAGCACATGATAACACAAGTTGTTGCACTCTCATCCCCAGTTTCTGCGGTTTACGCAAGGAACGCTTGGGACCATTGTTCACCAGAAAAACATTTTATTCTATTTCACTCGATTACAAGACCAAACCTTAAGCGAACCACACTCTCCGAGGAATGAAGAAAACTTAATACGAACAAAATGCTAAACTATAACTAATATATACGAAAATGATCTGTTGCAAATAGCATAAAAAGGATCACATAGTGCAAAGAATTATATTGAACGCCATGATCCTACTGATTAACGCTATTGTCTCCTGTTCACTCTCTAATTAGCACAATTGTCTCCTGCTCATTCTCCCCCACTTTGATATGACATGGCATATCAATAAAACGATAATAACGATGATGGAGGGGGGGGGGCCCTTCGGAGTCACTACTAAACTGTCCAGAAGTTTCTGAAAGTATTCATTCTCATCTCGATTATTTCCAAGTACGTTCATAACAGTTCGAGCTGGCATAACTTGGTAACAGGCCTAAGGAGTTCTTCTTTTCCTACTCCCGAATTTCTTCACGACCAGAAATGATCCAGGAGCGTGTTGATAAAGCGCCAATAATTGATTCGTTCCACACGCGTGATTGTCTTTTTCGTGATAATGTTTGACAATTAGCTTCGTCACATAGCTCTTTCGAGGCAAGATTATCGGGAAACGGGCATTCTGTGGTAGAAATTCTACATACCTAAGGCGGTCATCGCACCTCATTTGGCCTTTCTCGTCTAGTCATGGTTGTAAGCCGAGCAACTTGCTCTTTTTTGGTAACTCTCGTTGTCGCTGAAGTGCCAAATATTCATTGGGAAATGCCTTCCTCTGTGCACCTTTAATCACTTGAATAGCAGCATCTTCGATCTCCTCCACGTTTAAGTCTCCTCTCTCTCTGTTGGGACTGCTACAGTTATCTACGAAACGATGAACCCATGCTTGAATTCTTAACAACTTTGTCCTACTTGAGAACGTTTCGGATAGAGACGCCATAGCTGACCATCTTCA